GAACTCGGGTCTGAATTTGGGTCTGAAAAACTGGGCTATAAAGGGTAAACAAAAGAAGAGAGGCCATTAATTCATCTTTGAGATGCGGTACGCATTCTACTCCCATTCAGAATCGTAGTGGCTTATTGAATGCGATGTGGCCTATACAATGACTTGCGGGGGCCAACCGATGTACAAGTCAGTGTTCTCATCCTCCCGGACGAGTCTGGTACCGAGTTACCGTCCCCCGAAGGTAGAACACGTGGTTGGTGTGGGCGGCAGCCGATCCGAGATTTGACCTCATAGGGGGTCCACCTGCAATTGCCCCACCCACCCCTCAAAGGGTAAATAGTGTCAAAAAATCAAACATCAGATTTAATTGAGGACAAATATTTGTTCGATTCCGGTAACTGACTTTTCCGTGGTTTCTTCACTTTGAGCGAAAGGTCATGGCGGGAACTATGCGTTTTTTCATCTTTGCAACCCCGAAAGCGTTGCCATAAAGACTGAAGGATCAAAAATAGGAAAAAAAATGAAGTAAAGCAAATGTAAGGGTAAGAAATCAAACGAGAAATGCATTTGACATCAGAAAGTACAATGATGGAAGCTGAAACGAAAAAAAGCGGTTGCTGCTTACCATCATCGCTCTTTTTCCAGAACACTCGTGGCATGGGAAATCCGACAGCGACACATGTGAGGTTCACACTTCCGCCAGCGCCGACGCGATAAATTCGTTCCAGCTTGTAGGAGAAATATGGTGGCACGCGACGAACTGAAAGAAAAACAAGAGTATCCACTAATTTAGAAGGCTCTGATCCCCCTGATTTCCGGGCATTCCCGGGTCCCGGTTAATCTCCTTGGGAACAAACCAATGTCATAATTAGTGGAGTTCTTCTCGACAGCGAAGAGGTGCAACGGCAGTGTATTGCCTAGGAATGCACCCGTATTCTTGAACAACAGCCACAACAGAACAATACGCATCATCGACGTGGTTTACCAGTAAATCATCTGTAAGATGTGCCTAACCGATGGCGTTTAATGGACGACAACGACAACCGAATGGAGCGAATCTGCCACGGAAGACTTTAGGAACCGGTTCAATGGGCCACGAATGTGACATCTGCTCAGAATGACCGCTATACGATATCAACGAGAATAGATTCGGCCATGATGATTGGAATGGGTTAAATTTGAAACAGATGGACTCCAGGCTCAGTATCTCCAATGGGGCAGCACTATCGGGTGGAGCATCTTCAGGTATGTTTAAACAAGGATAGGTAAACGTTACGAATTGCCAATGCACGAAAGTTGAGAGGCGTGCGAACTCAATAGATACATACGAATAGGCAGCGCGCTGAGGAAAAAAGGCTTTCACTATTGTTCCAGCATTTCAAGCAATTGTTATAGACCCCCACTAAAGCCCACACACAGCCGGCCACATCGATAAAACAACTCTGAAATAGCAAAGGGTTCAATATACCTTGAAGAGAGCCAAAATCCCATAAACAAGTGTCAAATCCACTAGCTTAGCTACCTATGGTTTTCTGGATGCCAGTCGGGAAAATTGGGGCAAAAAACGAGCTGTAAATGGCAGGAGTGCTACACAGACGGCTTCTGTCGACTAAAAGCTCAAAAGCTGCAACCATGATGATTTAGGCCTTTGCTGAGAAAGTTAGAGGGTCACGCGATGAGAAAAGTAGTTAACTCGGAATTCGAGGGCAAGCAATTACGACAAAACCCAGAGAAATGATGAGATGACGTCACAGGAG